ACGTACTAATTATAAAAATTAAAAAAATCTATATAAAATATAAACTTTAATACCTCGTAATAATAATTATGCAATATTATGCAATGATCTCAACTTGATCAGATGAGCTGCTTTCAAAGACAAATAGCGTAGTTAGCATACGATTTTAATACCTGACTTATGTTTAAAGTAACGGCGACCGTAGTGCTAATTTGGGAAAGTTTAACCTAAATTTTAAAGTTATGAGATTAGCACTATAAAAATCTTAAAAATTTATAAAAAGCAATGGCGACAACATCTCTCGTTCGAATTATCGTTGTAAAACGATATTCGAAATTGTTTGTATGCTGGAAAGGATATAACAATAGATGCGGCAAGCATTGCTTCAAATGCTAAATAACAATGTAGAAAGAAGGCGTTATGATTTTCGTCGATGTGGCTATCAGCCGTTTAGCTCAGTGGCTAGAGCGTCAGGCCGCGAATGTCGAAGACGTGGGTTCGATTTCCACAGCGGCGACAATCTTTTCGTACTTTTTCTACATGTTTTAAATAAAGTTCAGTGCTGGTAAACTGAACTTAGGCAAACATTCGGTTATCGTTCTAGTTTAGCAATCCACGGCCATACCTTCGAATTCAGCATATATACTGAAATCGGCAATTCTCTAGATCTACCTAATTACGTCCAACTTTAAGCCGCTCTTCGTCCTAACTGGTATTAAGTAACCGTAACCGAAGGTTTACTGGTCTGACGTACATTGAAATTCCTAACTGGTATGAAGGAATTATATCGAATTGTAATTGTATCGAAGGTTTGGCTTACTGACATTGGGCATAACTAAGTTATTAGTTAGTAGGAAAATTTGTGGTAAAGCCTCATTACTAAACAGAAGCATAACTGAATATTACTTAGTAGTGAGTGACCCAGCCGATATGCGTCAGGTACGAAACATAAAAAACATAAATAAGTTTTAGTTAATGGTATATTATATAATTTATGATCGTTTACCATATTCGGTGAGAATATCGAATGTCACCTTAGACTGCGGTCGGAATAAAATCTAGTGTTTGCATAACTGGAGTTGTAGGATCAAATCCAGTAATGTAAGTAACAATAAATAATAAATCATAAAAACAGGCAATCGTTTCGAACATTGAATAAGATAGTCTTAATAAAAATTACGATGGTATAATGATACATAAGTATGATTTGTGGTCGTAAAATTACATATGGTTATACAAAAACATTGAATATTTTGCTAAGATATCATACTTTATAAAAAATATATTATTATTCTATTACAAGCATTAATTGTTTCTACTTTCAAGTCATTGTACTAGAGTATCTTTTTATGTATGAATAAAGCTATATGAAGATATCGAATATCTTATATAAATAATATCTAATAATTTTATATATAATAATTTATATAAATAATATCTTTATTTATATATATAAAGATATTCTATATATTTAACTTTATCGAGAATGGTTTACATTCACAATTATTTTTCTTTTGTTATCGGATTTAAGTCTTTTGTCCTGTACAAACGACTTAAATCATCGTTCATCGGGTCCGCTAGTATTATATATACAGCGTGTCTTTACCACCGCGACCATAAATGAACACACGTCTAACGCTACTTGCCATTAATCATAAAAAATACTAACGTTAAAAAAATGCATAATTAAAAAAAAATATTTTTCAAATAAACTAATTAAGTAAAAAAGAAACAAAATTTGTAACACTTATACAACTACAACTGACTGATTCATACATTCAGAGACTTTTCATTCGTTGCCACAGCGCCGCATTACAAGCCTCTCCTTCTAACAGTATGTTTTGTCTCTTTTAAATTTATTCAACCCATTCATATGCTTTGTGACCTTTACATTAAAGTTTTATACGTAAGGATGTTCTAAGATTCTTTGTTTTGGAAAATTTGATAACTCGTTAAATATTGATGTTTAAAGAATGTAAATCTTTAATACAATTTTAATAAGTTATCCTCTATATGTGTGTTCTTACATTTATTGTCGCGATGGTAAAGACACGCTGTAGCGTGTCTTTACCATCGCGACAATAAATGTTTTTTTTTATACAAACTACTACTCAATTTTAAGATACAACACCTTTATTTTTTTAGTTATACAAACTACTACTCAATTTTAAGATACAATACCTTTATTTTTCCAAATTTTATAACAGAAAAATATTCAACCGAGTTCCAATTTGAATTTTGCAGCATGAGGAAAAAGAATATAAAAAAAATTAAAACGTTATTACTTGTGCTTCTTCCCTAATCTAATTGAACTTAGCATAACTTTACCTTCAATTGATAAAACTAAACGTGAACCATTTCCACTCGTTAAATCATAAGATATTTCTTGTAAGATATTTCTTTTGCTCTTTTTTTGAAGAAAATTACTGTATTTTTTTGGGTTGAAGAAAGTTATTGTTTTGGTTAAGGTAATAAACAGCTGAAATGCAAGCAATTGATATTAGCAATTGTCTCGGTTTTTCAAGGTCGAATTCTAAACAATATTCAACATAATCTTTAACAATACAACAAAAACAATAGTAAACAATTTCATATCAAGCGAAGTTGAAAATAAGCTTAAACCATTACTATTTGATAGTCTCGATATGTGCATTCACCATACTAATATGACGAAGCAAAACAATCTCCGATGATTATCTACATTTCAAAAACGATTTTTAAGATATAAAATAATACTTCCTACAATTAGCATGTTGAAACAATTCTTCCTTCATTCTTATTAAGTGCAATTGTTAATTTTCCCAAAATGCAATAGCGTCTTAAGTGTAAGCCATATAAAAGACTGCATAAAATCATACAAACCTCATCTAAAATGCACGAATTTCAGTAATTGCTATTTGAAATTGCGCAAGTAAAATATATGAAGATTGTGAACATTTATATCTAGTCGTGATTAAACAGGGTTGAAGGATAGGGAAGCCTACAGACAGATTTGCTTTACAGTACGGATTATTTATGTAAAAAAATTAAGTTCATTTATTTTATAACATGCGACATATGGTCGTTATTTATTTTTTTGTATTTGTATACGTACTATTTGAAAAAATCTAATTGTAAGATATAATTTAACATTTTATATTATATTTTATCTAGTTATGAAATGTAGGCACAAATTTCTAACTGATACAGCTAATTAGAACAAGGAATAAAGTGAATGTGAGTTATTCTTTTTTACATTTTTTAGACTAAATTTACTATCATTACACTTTAACTGCTGCTGCTACTGAGTATAGCTGGATATTCTATTTGTGATTTCATATTTGTTGGTGGTTGCAACTCCTCGGGATATGAAAATTATTAAGTGCGAATTTTTTTTTACTTCGTTTAAGTGTACTATTGTGTAGATCTATAAATGTTTTTATAACGACTTTATATTTATATATTTCACCTTATACATGCACCGTATAAATCCCTCGAAAGGAAACCCTCTCAGCAACAGATGGTTTCGGATGTGTTTAATGATAAAGTGTCTGGCTGTAGTGATGCGCGAAAACGCAAACGTATGTTTAAAAGAAATTATCGAAAGGTTAAATCTCATTTAATATTATGAGTACTACCCACATCAATATATTTAAACGTGTCTATTAAACTTAGTTTACCGAACCTTTCACCGAACATCTTTCATTTATTCCTTTACAGCTGTTTTAATTTCTTCTAATTAGTCCTTGTAATTAATTCATTAACATAAGTCCGTAATCTTAAGACATTATAATAAACAGCTTTTTTTGAGCAAAACATGCGTTAATTCGGTAAATAAAAAGTGCTTTTATTTCAAATCATTTAATTATACGGTTAAAATATAATAACATAAAAATGATAAACTTGGTATAAAATCTTTATCAATATAACGGAAAACATTGGATTTTCAAAGATGAAAATAATTTGGTTATAGCTTCTTGTAGCGTTATTTGTATTAACCATTGATTAATATACGTTTTAGATGAAGAAGAGAATAGATAAGTATGAAAAAAAAAAGTTTACTAGAAACAAATATGTAAAAAAAATTGCTAAAAGAAAATTTATTCATAGAAAGCTCATGTTACATTACAGTACAACTCCACAACAACTCTACAATTAATCATTAGAGCTTAGGAAGACATCATTTTAATTGTACTAGCCAGTGCTACTGAAACCACAGTCAATTTGTACAACATAGGCGATTGATCTGTGGTAACTTCAAGAACATAACTTGTTTTTATAACTTATATGTATATAACCACTGGTGTGTAAGTTTTATAGCTTTTTGGTAGAGTAAATTATTACAATAAAATTCGTATTATTGAAATCACATTTGTATCGCCTACTTCCACCGTGTAATATATTTAATATTTATAACATAACAAAGACGAGCTATATGACTTAATCTATTTATATAATTCGACTCTATGACACTTGTATAAACAATATTTAGTTATGTATAAACTAAATGTTGGATTAGTCATAATACGATGCAAAAAACTTATATTTCTGTGTTTAAAATAATAACAGACTTTTACAAATATTATGCGCATTTTTACTTCTTAGGAAGAGTTACGAAAACACTAAAGATCAATTAATAGTTGTCCAGATAAAGTGGACTCATATACTCTTATAAGGACCCGTTTTTAAACTGTTCTATTGAACTATTGACTACAGAAGTTAATAAAGGAATAGCTTCGGTTTAATATTATCACCCGAATTCATATGAATTACCAACAACATTGTGCCACATTTTAACATACATTTTTGTAATGTTAAAAGGGCAAATTATTACTACAAACATTTTATATAGTTACAATAAATTTATTTTATAGCCACTCATCCCAACAAAAAGCACAAAACCTTTTATATTTCGTATGTCACGCTTGCAACGTGCATCTACCATTATCATTTTGAAAGGTAGTCGCTGTTGGCGTATAAGATTTATTTACATTAGTCATTAAGCTATTATGTACAAGCCATCTAGTCGCTTTTGTTTCTTAGGCATTCTTTTTTTCATTCTTGTCATTTATAAGAACACCGTTACTCTGGAATTCTCCATAATTCTTGTCGGTAACGTAACCATTTACAACTCCGTTAGTGTGTGCCTGATTGCAGCTGCCAATCCTCGTTTCAACTTTTACTGATTTCTTGTCTTCCGGCTTACCGTAAGCCTTGTAGTAGAAATCGTAAAATAGGTAGTAAAAGAATATAGAGTTGGGCAGGGTGAACACAACAGTCCAGCGAGGGTAACCACAGTCGTAAAACAAAAGTTGCGATGAATGGATAAATGCTATACAGAACTGCAACTGGAAAATAACGAAAGCAAGACATATTAATGGTGAATTAAACTCAAGTATTTCGTATAACCAAAGATCTTGTGCTTGATTTTCCGACATCTGAATTAATTGCAAACTGTATAAATAATTATCACGAAACTGGCTGAGTAGTACAACGTCCAGATATTACAGATAATAAACTTATTGATATTCGCAATTACAAATTTATAATGACTTATTTTCGCCCAACGGAAACGGAACGCCAAAGGAAAAAGTCTGATGAGCCCCATAAAATCAATTACACGCTACGTTATAATATTATATATATACGATTTAATTATGATCAAATGACCAGAAGCGAGTAGTGGTTGTAAATATAATAGCACTCGCTTCATTGATGATGACCAAAAATCTTGCTTGTCACTACTGAATGCAACAAAGGGGACAAATAAATAATATGTGTCGAAGGAATACATTTTTTTTAAATGTAGTTAGTTTTATGCTAATATTTAGTAGCTAAAAATTACAGATTTTTCAGTCTTTTTCTTAAAGGTGGTAGGGCCACGCTGCAGCCTCGGCTGTTGCACGAACGGGCAGGCCCGTCCGGGTGAGTACCACGACCTCACAGAAGATCAGCGCAAAGTGGAAGTATGATAAACACTTTCGCGTTTCATCTGGTGAGTGAGGTAGCCGGGGCTCAATTTTCAAAAGGTTGTCAGCGCATCTGCAAACCCTTGGGTGTAGTAGATGTCCATGGGCGGTGGTATTCACTTAACATCAGGTGAACCACCTTCTTGCTTGGCAACTTTTCACATAAAGTCACCCAAAAACGCAACAGAGTTCTAGGTTTTATCTTAAATCTGAGAGAGCAATGCTAATATTATGGAGTTGGTTAAACATACCATTTGCAATGTGGTGATATGACGCTTCCAAAACAGGAATCTCTGATATTGGGGGCCCATTGCGGACAACATGTAATAAGTGTACATGATGATGTGAACGAACGAGTTAATCACTCCGATCAGGGTACCGTGGCCACCTGGGTAGTATTTGGTCGCGCCCCATGATATCATTGGCATAACTGTATGATGATACATATGCAAGAATGTAATCTGCCTATTCTTCTTACGTATGACGAAGAATATCGTGTCCAGAAGCTCGGACATTTTCGCCAGGAAGTAAATGTAGACCCCGCTCGCAACCTAAAATTCGAATTCGTAGAAAACGATTAAACTGTTATAAAATTACATACAATAGACGGCGAAATAATGTTGCAATAGGTCAAATTGAAGGATCAGGATTAAAATTTACAGGTTACCGCTTGCATTATTTGAAAATTACCTTAATCTAACCGTTACATTATAGCGCCATTTGAATAATGAATAATTTATAAACACATTACTTGACGAGCCCAATACTCAAATACTTTGTATTCAAACTGCAGAGAAAGAGTAGTTAATTACTTTTGTGCGATAATTTGTCGAAAATATCTTAATAAGTAACTAACTTCAAATTGAATTTTTTTCGCAGACAAATGTACAAAAACTTCAGCGCTACGGGATTCGAATCTGTCTCTATTTCAAATTATTGGCTTTCCTACTTTTTTGTAATTTATCTACAAAAACTTACAATATAAAATTTCAACTTGAGTGCAGAGCCTAGCACTATAAAATAGATAATAATCTAAAAAAAAACTAAGGACTACAATATTTATGTTTATTAATAAAAAACAGAAAAAGGTTAATCAAGAATTTAAATTTTGATATCACAGTCACTAGACCATCACATAAGTACGTATTTCCTATACGTCATAACTGTACATAAAGCCGATACCTACCCTCATAGCCTCCGGTGACCTTGAAAAATCCACCGGTTGACATTTCCAACTATAAGACCTAAGCCAAGCGGCGTCGAGACCCTGGAAAAGATTGAATATCATATAAACATCGTAAATTTCTAATTAAAAAAACTTACAAAGATAAAATGTATGTAATCTCTTAAAATCGTTAACTGCAAAAGAATCTAAAATATAAACTTTACGGAAGCTATAGTTGTTACTGATAAAGCCAGTTCAATTCATCATTGAAACCCTCATTATTTGCATTTGTTTTTTGTTTTGTTTTTGTTTTTGGAAATAGGTTTCTTTTTTTATTCTATTCACTGCTTTTTACTTATAGATGTTAATTTTCATTAGTCGTTATTGTGTTACTGTCTTTAGAATAATGTACCAGATTTGTGCTATAATATAATCAATATAATAAATATAATCAGTAGGTATAAGCGGGTACATTAATTTAAGTACAATAACACATATTATCCTTAAATTAATGTACCTGCTTATATAATAAGTGACCTTAATTAATCTTAGTCTAGTTTGTTATTTATAATTTTAATGTATGTATGTACTGAAAATCGGGAAATCGTACCGAGTACATACCTATTTGGTTTCATGTCTTAGATATATATTCTTTTAATTGTTAACATAACTGTGTTTGTTGTTGAAACTAAATAAATATTCATCCATTCATTCATTCATTAGTTCCCGCTTATTGTCTGTAATTGTTTTTTATTCGAGAAAGTGGCAAACCAGCTGGCAGTTCACCTGATGTTAATGGATTACCGCCGCCCATGTCATTAGCAGCAACCTAAGGTTTGTAAATGCGTTGCCAACTTTAAATAAAGTGGGCCCCGGCTACCTCACTGAACCAGACGAAACACAGAAGTACAACGCTTCTACTTTACGCCGGTCTTCAGTGAGGTCGCGGTACTTACCCGGGATAACCTGCCCATTCGTGCAACAGTGAACACTGTTACGTGGACCTACCACAGTTAATACGCAGTAATTGGTAATGGTATTTAAACATTACTGGAAGATTATGAAAAATTTAATTCTTCAGTACACGTATATACGTTTCTTTCCTTTTTCGCGCAATTAACGTCCCTAATACGCTTTAAAAAATAGATGACAGTAGCAAATTTCATAGGCTTTTTCAATTTCTAGTCACCTGGCCCTGATCTGTTGAATTCCATGCTAACCTATTTTAGTTTCAAGAGGAATAATAAGTAGCGTAATCACTTAAATCTCAAAGCAAGTTTCAAATCATTTTTATTTGAAGGACCGCGTCCGTATAAATAACGGTACTAAGACGGCGTCAGTTGAACAAAAAAAAGATGAAACAGTGGATAAAAATGATGTAAAAAGTACCCAAAAGTAGTAAAAAGTATTGCTACTAAGAATGACATTCAATACACGATTAAATCTTAGGTTACTAATAACTACTTTGATTACTAAAAACTCCTAGCCTAATAATAAATTGGGCTTTAAAAATTTCTTTACAAATATATTGTTTTGTTTTGCCTTCTTAAATAATTATTCTTAAATATCATCACGACAGTTTGGCAACGTTAAACGTAGTCTCTGAATACAGTCATAAAAGACACTGTATGTTTGTATTTTTAAAGTTATGATGTACCATCAGTGCGAAATAGGAAAGTACTTTCTTGATGGACAGCTCATTGATTGATGCAACTAACCGTTAGTTGAACTGAAGTGAATGGAATATCTAGTTCGTTCGTCACCGTAACACATTTCCACCGGTCGGAGGATGGCTTCAAATAATGTGAAAGCGTGGGACGAGTCGAAAATTACATGGGATTAAGTGACCAAAGACACCTCGGCACCAACAATGGTTCAACAATGCCGGTGTGTTTGTCGTGTTATTATAATGTCGGAACCGCGCATTGGCTTTTGTGGCTGCATGGATGGAACGGCTTAAGCAAGAAAGGAATGTGGCTTCACGAAACATCTGAGTTTTAAACTCCCTGGTGACTTAGATTAAGGGAGACTTTCCCACTTCAACAAAACCTTAAGTTGATTAGCGGTAACGTTTCACTATTTTACTCTCCAATTACAAATTCATTAATTTTGTATTAAAAATCTGACCTCATAGAACAGCCAGCAGCTGACCAAAACTTGAATGAAATTGTACACCACTAATGTCATCTGTAGCTGGAAGGGTTTCCTGTCTGCCATGTAGCGTGGGCCCCATTTCAAAGTGAAGTACAAATACAGTCCGATGATCGTCAAGCCCGGTACCGGACTAGTGATTAGAAACCAGTCGTTTGTTCGGGGATCTGGAAGTAATAATAAAAATAATTCTTGTTAATCGTTAAATCGAAAATAAAATAGCTTTTTATCTGATTTTTTGTAGACATTTATAATCAACGTATCAACGTCTATTCCATTGTCGTTGTAAAAATGTTTCGTCGCGAACCGGAGTGTAGTGGAAGTGTTATACTTCTGCGTTTGGTCTGGTGAGTGAACTAGCTGGCGCCCCACTTTATTAAAAGGTGGCAACGCATCTGCAACCCCGCGGGTGTTGCAAATATCAATGGGCGGTGGTTATCACGCAACATCAGGTGAACTGCCAGCTCGCTTGCCTCTTTCTCACATTTGAAAAATCTACCAAATCCTTTTTTATCTAATATATAATGTATAGTAGATCAACCTGGGTTCAAATCAAGTACTGACACTAGCGAACTTATTAATTGAAATACTTGTATGATCATAAAAATACCGGACATTAAAGTAATTACTATCGTTAAGTAACTTACAATAAAATTAAACTATAGAAAATAAGAATAATGAATATCAAATCCATGAGTCGGTTATTCGGTAAAGTAGCAAATAAATGTAGAGCGGCATAGTTGAAAAGATAATTATCGATTTAACTTTGAATATTTATAGTCTTTACTTCATTTCGAATTCAAACGACGTTAAAAAAAATACAAACTTTAAACGACGTTAAAAAAATACAAACGTAATAAAGCGACTTAAATCTAAATTCAAATACTACGATAATTCAAACGTTAGTCGATTAAAGTTAATAGTGGTGTGACGCATTCCACGTTAGTGTGAACAACATATTTCGTTTGTCTTCAAGAATGCGTGAAGTTTTATCGCAAATGAAAAATTGACGTTAGATTTTATCTACCGTTGTTTCATTTTAACACCTTGTAAATACAAGGTGTTAAAATGATTTTTTAGAGCTACCTTATTGGTGTCTACGTGCCGTTAGAATTATAAATTTGTTTCACCTTTCATTTTGGTCACAAATACGATACCAATTTTTATTCGCTTATGAAATGTCTTTTTGCGTGTGAAGTTGGTAAGCGAGCTGGCGATTCACCTGATGTTAAGTTATCATCGCCGCCCATAGACATAGCAAAGCCCGTAGGGCTGCAGATGTGTTGCCAACTTTTAATAAATTGGGCCCGGGCTACCTCACTCACCAGATGAAACGCGGAAGTATGATAATTCCACCTCACGCCTGTCTTCTGTGAGGACGTGGTACTTACTTGGCTGTCCAGGTAAGTACCACGACCTGCCCATTCGTGCTACAACCGAAGCTGTGGCGTGACCCTACCACAGTAAGTGTGAATCTTTCTTGGAACGAAAGTATATTATTACTTATTACCTCTAGTCTCTTAAGGAGTGCAGAGCTCCCCCCATAGGATGGGCTGTGCCTAGTGTGGATGTTAGTGTGTACAATTGGAAACCTATATCTTAAAAAAAATTAAATTTTCACCAAAAACATACAGAACCTACATATTTAAGAAATCGTGGTATCCTGACAGAGGGCAAGTGGAAAAGCTTTCGACAATTTATAATACGCATTTTTAACAAATACTCATATAAATCATTCCTTTCATTGCCGACTTTTATAGAAGTGGGACCCGATTACCTCACTCACCAGACGAAACGAAGCGAAATTCGAAGCTACTGCGAGCATACAATTTATTTTATTTTTCTCAACATTTAAACGCCGACTCGAGTAATTTCAAATCGTTGCCAATTTGCACAAACACAGTAAATTTTTTTTTATCGTTGCTCTTAGCTGAGAACCTTATTTTTTTATTCTGTGAGTGAATACCGTCGTTGTCAACGCATCTGGAAAACCTTTTGAAAATTTGGCTCTGGCTACCTCACTCAACTTCACTTTACGCCGGTCTTCTGTGAGGTCGTGATACTTACCCGGACGAGCCTGCCCATTCGTACAACGGCCAAGGCTGCTGCGTGGCCCTACCACCGATAAAATGTTGATAATATGCTTGCACTTTGAGCACTTACCGGCCAGTTCTACAAACAGGCGATGGTAAAGAGAGTTGTTTGACAGCGCCATCGTAGCCGTATCCGTTTCCGGTCTGTTGATCACTTCCGCACTATCACAAGAGGCTCTCCCGCATAGCTGAGAACCTTAGGAGTATTATCTGAAAATATAAAAAGGCTTTTAATTACCATAAATCAGGTTATAACACGATCTACCGGCAGAAATGTAGTATGAGAAAACGTTTTTTAGTCCCAAACTACGCAACGCTTGTACTTATGGGTACTAGATAACAGATAAACATAATCTTCTTTTGTAAATAAATACATAATGTTCTTCACACAATGTTTTTCCAGTAGTGGGGATCGAACCCACAGTCTCTGGCGCTAGAGACAGCGTCACTACCCACTACGCCAATCGGGTCGTCATTATGACGGCAAGGGTGTGGGGTTCGATTTTCACAAGAGAAAAGTATTTGTGTGACCCACAGAATTGTTCCGAATCCGAGTATTTGTTCCAAAGGAGGGTTGACGTCAGGCCGGTCCCTAAAAAGCTAACCAAAGTGACTTACTCATTCAAATGTTGTGCCGACCCCACCTAAGTGGGTTAAGGGCAGGAGGATGATGATCTTAGTGGGCGCACAATTGAAGACACACTCATAGACACATGAGTACGTTTAGTCATTTAAAACGGTAGGCCTTAGTAAAGTTCGTAAATTTTACACTGCCAGGTCTTCGGGGTAAAGTAAAACTACTTACACTGTGGCCATCTGCCAAACCGGCTTATTCGTGCTGCGGTGGCCTAGCTTAACAGCATTGCAGTGGGTGTAGGCCATGGTGTAGGCCATGGTGTAGGTAGGTTAACTTTACATTAGCTTTCGGTGTAAAGTAAAACTACTTACACTGTGACCTTCTGCCAAACCGGCTTATACATGCTGCGGTGGCCTGGCTTAACAGCAATGCAGTGACTGTAGCATACTCAGGCAATAAAATATTACTATCGTAGCACATCAATTATTTCCAAGAATAAACTGTCCATCTTTACGTAAAATATGCATTGCTTTTCACTTTACTTATGTCTTGATGAATCTTTACGACACCTTTTTTTTTTAAGTTCTTGTTCAAGTGGCGTAACGATTAATGGTTTAAACTTAATAACGAAAAAACCCATCTAGTTAAGTTCTTTAAAGTAAGGTTTTTTTACTAACTATTTTTTTATACAATGTGATGATAAAAAAACTATATATTAATGGTTTATATGAGATCATCGTCTTTTAATTCATGTCTACAAGGAAGTTAATTTGATAAAATTTTGAACTTTATTTTAGAGGTGGTTGTTATGTTTTAAAAAAAATATGTGTACACAAACGCGTGTTGTGAGGTATACTAAAAAAAATAGTATACTGAAGAGGTGCCTCAAATATGGATTCAACCGTTCGGTTTGTATTCACAAATCTACGAACCTTTGACCGAATATGTACGGAACCCAACATTTGGCAAAATATTTCGTTTACTTTTTGCGCAGTAAACAGGTTTGAATAACATAAGTTAGTAAAAAAAGTAGCGTATGCCCAGTTCCGCATTTTTTTAATCATACCATATTATTATGTTAATAATGTTGAACTAAATGATGACCCCGCTACATGATGATTAATATACTTATGTTAGCTATACTTTATATTATCGAGCTAAGAAGGTAGAAATATAAATATACTTTTACCAAATCACCGTAGTTTCACTTTGCACAACAATAACAGTGGTATAATTACTTATTTTATCACTTTAATAGCACTAATGAAACACCACTCGTAACGATTTCATTTACGATACCGATTGGGCAGCACTATCGTGTATACTTCTGGTTTGACAGCCAAAGAAGACGACAACTACGACGAAGACGACGAAGAACATGAAATGCTTCGTGCAGCTGCATTTATACCTCATAGAATGACACTTCTTTTAGTGTTGCCAACGACCTCAAGGAACGACTTCTTTTAATGTTGCCAACACTTATTTGATTATAAGACTATTATTTGAATAAATCTTAATATGTTTATATTTTATTTCGAGATAGGTAGATATACAATATTTTGATTTTGATTTCAATATCCGCTAAATACAGATGTTATATTAAAGAGTTGATTATTTTAAATAAAACCCGAATTTAGTTGTTTTTCAAGTTTGTGATATAACTTTGACTAAGCAAGATAGTATTCGCGTTTGCATCGCATACAAGTACTCTGTACACTTCACAGAATATAGCGTTTTTTCGTCATATGTAAATAATTACGGAATATCAAATGAAAACAAACTATTTGACTACTTGGTAATTGTTATCTTTAGAAAAAAAAAGTACGAAAAATTTTTCGCCGCTGTGTTTATCGAACCCCCGTATTTGGAATTCGTGTCCTGACGCTTTAGCCACTGGGCTAAACGGCTTCCAATTGGTCGAAAATCTCCACGTCTTTTTCTTTTGATTCATTGAATTGACATTTTCTTCGGTGGGGCAATCAGCCATTTAATCTATAAAGCAGAAATTAGCACTTCAAACATTTGAATTTCTATTAAGTAATTATTCGGCAATTCAACCTAATTTGAACATGAAATATTAATCACTATTTCTTAACTTTGTATCTTAGAGCGGCATCTGTTGCATGTCAATTTTTTGCAACTATTTACCCTATTGGAGAAACGGGAATGGTGCAATTGCAACAGTTATGTTGAAACAAAACAAGGAAACTAACGTAACCGTGCATTCTTCTCTGTAGTAGTGTCGATTAGTTTCTATGGCGCAAAAGGACGTTTATTTTCATTTAGCAATCACGCGAGAGTCATCTTATAACGAGGAAAACAATAATCAACAATTTGCACTTATATACTTATTACAATGTCTTCTCTGACCACTAGAAACACGTTCTAGTGGTCAGAGAAGACATTGTAGAAAAAGTATACTTCTACAATTTATTAAACACCTAGGGCCACGAAACAGCTTTGGCTGTAGCACGAATGGGCAGGTCCGTCCGGGTAAGTACCACGACCTCACAGAAGACCGGCGTGAAGTGGGAGAGTCATACTTCTCTGTTTCGTCCGGTGGGTGGGGTAGATGGGGCCGCTTTATTAAAAGGTTGCAACACATCTGCAACCCCACTGGTGTTGCAAATATTCATGGGCGGCGGTCATCACTTAACATCAAGTGAACCACCAGCTCGCTTGCCACCGTGTTACATAAAAAAGCGAACTGTTGCGTGGTCCTACCACAGTAGAATAAAAATAGGATAAAACTGAGAAGAAGGGAAACATCGTTAAAAGCACTCTTGTCACATTTTTTTTTTCATATTGTGCAATTTAATAATGGCTGGAAACAATTTTCTGATAAGAAATATTTATTACACTTAATCTTTGGGCGAATAAAATTGCGCTGTAACGGAGAAAAAATGACACTCAGACGTCCAACGCGTCAGTCAATCTGACCCACGACCATGAACGCCGTAAAGGGTTCGAAACGTCGGGAATTAAAACTAAGTGCGATAAATCCGTAAACATATTATCATTTAGTAACGTGTAATCACATAAATACAAGACAATCCTTACTTCCTTACTATCCTTACTTAATATTATAAACGCGAAAGTTTTTATGGATGGATGGATGTTTGTTACTCTTTCACGCAAATACTACTGAATGGATTCTAATGAAACTTTACAATAATATAGCTTATACATCAGAATAAGATATAGGCTATAATTTCTATACATATTTTATGTATTTCTGTCTTTCTGTCTGAATGTTACTCCTTCAGCCTATTTTACGCAGACGTAGTCGCGGGCAGCAGCTAATATTAAACATTTTTATGCACCCCACGGCTCTACGGTTTCTACAGTAAATTGTGTAAATACGTAATCTACAAAACTATTCGTATTTGCTCCGTTTACTTACTCCAGTTACACTTACATGGGAAACCGTCAAAATATGTACGCAAGTAGCATACCACAGCAGGACAGAGGATTTCATCTGCGTACTTGGAATGCTATCAATTCCTCTACTTGTTCCACAAGGCACCACATAAGGGCTTACATCAGTAAAATTTGATAAGATTAATCCATAATATAATATTATATATGCGTAAGTTACTCTATCTGTGTGTCTTGCTTTCACGCCAAAGTACTGAACCAATTTAAATGAAATTTGGTACACAGATAGTCTAGAGCTTGAGGAAGGACATAGGCTATTTTTTGTTGGATTTTTTTTTTAAGAAATATTTATTTACGAGCTTCAACGCGAGCGAAGCCGCGGGCGAAAAGCTAATAGGGAATATTGCAAAGACCGACTAGATCCCCGCAAGACCCTAAACTAATTAATTATTGTACTATTCTCTGGGGGCATTGTAACAGCTTTTAAAAGATTTATACCAAGTGTACCTGTCAACTGAATTGCCTTGCTATTTTTAGCTTAGAACCATAAAACATAAACAGAGTTGATACGGCTGAGAGAAAATTGTCAATGAAAGTCGCCAAGAATCTCTAATTTTGAAATAGTACATCTTATTGTGCCTTTGTTGTAAATTTTTGAAGTTTGCTTTTGTTATAAAGAACAATTTAATATGATCCTGAAAGTAACGTGTTAGGAGGTTATTTGCCTAGCGGTTGTAACTTTCCCTGGCTTTCTAAATTGACCTACGAACATTTTCCGATTTGACCGAAAAAAACATTTTAATTGCCAAGAAAAAATTATTTCCTACTTAGCTTAATATTTGCACATATTATATATATTTGTAATATGAGTTACTTGAAATACATAAGGTAAATTTAATTCTCAAAAACTTACATTTGCCAAAAAAAAACTATAGGGAACCATTAAAATAAAAACATAAGCCTAGGTAATGAGAAAACCGATGGATGATTAAAATCAGAACACTTAATTCCGGGGTTATTAGTTATGCAATTGTTAAGACGGAATTTAATCAACAATATCTTTGGTGATCATAACTGAACAGACACAACAATATTAATTATTGTATTTCAATCAAAAAATTACTATAACACTGCTTTATCATATGAAAGAGTAATTGATGATATGAATTGAGGTCATGATTTAAATTGTTTATTGAAATATAACTTACCTACTACATTATTTTACAACTGTTTTCCGAAAATACGATAATGAATG